AATAGATCAAAATCTCTGGAATGTTAAAAGTATTAAAAACGGAAATGTAATTTTGAAGAATTTCATCTTAAAAGGTAAGCTGTGAATGCAATTAGTATTTCCAGCTGTAGAATTAAAACCAATATTGTTGCCTTACCTACTGGAACCATAACATATTGTTAATGTAGTTTTTCTAAAATTAAATATATTAATTTTTAAAATGATTCTCTACATATGTATATTTTTTTAACATATTTTAAATGTTTAAGCTGTTTTATTATAACTGGCCAAAGTGCATTTGATTTAAAGATATTATATATTGTAATCAACGAAATATGAAATAACAGCCATTATACAAATTTTTCATGCTAACTGTTATCACAACAGTTAAGCAATTATAACCAGCTTCTTTTGTTGTCTGAAAAATTATTAACCTATCGTTGGGTCGTATTTTGTCCGACATGTTTCCTTACATTTCTTAGATCATATTTTTATACTAAAATTAACAACGGAGTACTCGTTCTACCTGCTCGATACGTAGTTCTCAAGGAGGATGTGACCGTTAGTCAGGGGATGCTTACTCCTCCTAGGTACCTGATCCCACCTCTGGTGTTTGCAGGGGTCCGTGTTTTCGCCCTGTTCACGATTTGTTTTGAATAATAGATCTATGAGGTTGATTGCTGTTTGTTATTTTCACCTCTTAAATTATAGAAATTCAAATAAGTATCTGAAAATTCATAATAATGATAATGATAATGATCAATATGAATAAAATGTTGCCTTCACTAAGATAGGAATTTTAAAATTATAAATAAATGGCATGAATGTATGAAAAAAAACTTGAAATATTTCTTTGCAAAAAGTAAGAACAAATGATATGCTTTACCCATTGACCTTGTTTACTTGTTTACTTCCTATGTAAATAAACCTAGATTTGTTTTGAATATGTTACTAAGGCAAACAAATGCATGACGTAGACAGCAACAAAGGAGGTACAAATAAATCTGTAAACCGAGATTAAGATTTCAAAAGTGTTTTAATCGCGTTTTGATCAAGTACATGCGTTTGAGCCTTTTGGACTAAATACAACTCTAAACCTTCCATCCCTATATGAGTAAATAACATGCATGAACGTGAATGTCAAAACAATAATAAATCAAACAGTACACATAATTTCAAACTGACACCAATGTTATCCTGTAACAAAAATGACTCATGGTAAAACTTTATTTTCGGTTCGACTGAACTCCTCTGGACAGGGTTCGGTCGTCTTCCTTCTGACTGTCTATCGGCAGTCCGTTGACTTTTCAGTTTCTTTACTTATTTTCAAGACCCACTAGGTCAAGATCATATGGCAATGTCTAAATAAATCTTTTTCCCAATTATCACTGATGTAGGAAAGAAAAAAACAAACGAAAACCTATTTATGGATCAAAATTCACGGGGTAAGGACGAGATAAACAGGGGGACCATAGATTTGCATAGAAATAAAGTTTTCAATTTAAGAAAAATAAAACCTGAATATCGTCTTTTAAAGCATAATAATGATACAACCTTTCCCATATAATGGTGGGGTTAAACCTTTCAATGTATTGGTTACATATTTTTTTTTACACTTCTGAACATAAATTTCCTGCATCAATAAGTCAATAATAACAATGCGTCCCCTTACAGTGTTTATTTTAATTATTAGTATCCCTCCCGACGTGGGGTTGCGAAAGAATATGATTCAAAGTAGTACACTGATAAATACTGATAATTTTTAAAAGTTTTGCAAGGTCTCAATATGCAGGTATTCCAAAGTGTGAAAAAGTTTGTTTAAATGTAGACTTGAAAGGCTTACGGGGAAATTGTGGAATGATCAAAGTTTTACAAAGAATTGATTGATTGAGGTTTTCTGTAAATATTCCCAAGACGGCAGCAGGAACACAGTTAATTTAATGTGCAAGCATCTCTATTTCAAAGAGATTAAAGTATGTAAAAATTATTATTCCTGAATATGATAAGGGTATAAAGACATATCTAAATTTCTCACTAATGAAATATATGGAGATAACAAACAGTATTCAAGCTCAAACGTCCATCAAACAAAACAAATTAAGCATTTTTACTTTCATACTAAAATTTAATGCTGTTTGATATTGTTGAGAGTATGCGAATAGATTCTGATACTATTAAGGGTTTTACATGTGTATCCACTCGTTTGTTTGTCGGGTAAGGAAATATGACCTCAGTGCGTACAACTGTTCATACTTTTTTGAGAGTCAGTGCATGGATTCAATGCTTAAGATTCTTACAAGGATGTGCACCTAATATTGCTTAATGCGAGTAACATTGTGGTTTATTGTGTAATTGACACCCAATTTCATACTTATAATGAATGTTAATGTTAAGAAATGAATGTTAATTCAGTCTTCTCATACTGGTAATATTGGCTCAAGATTTACAAGGTTAGTGGTTTTCTGAATGAAAAGCTTTCCCTACAAAATGTACTATTTCACATAGAAAAAGTGAACTTTTGCATATGAAAGCAAAATATGAGCAAAAGTCAATACTTAACCTTTTTAAAAGAGGAATGTTCGGCTGATGCAGTGGTAGCGCACTAGTAGTGCACTTGCTTCCCACCAAATCGATTGATAAGAGACAAAATACTTTAATGGTATCCTAACAAAGAAAATGAATGATGACGTGATGACTTAAACTTTTCAATCGTCAACTTCCCTTATTTATGTAGCAATATACCCTTATCACCTGCACATGGACTTTATGTCTCCCAGTTGATTCAATATCCAAGGGCATGCTCTACGTACGAACAATTTCTAAAACGAGGCAAGCTTTTGACAAACAAGATGATGAAACAAGAATATCAACAGTCTCGTTTAAAGTCTTCATTTCGCAAGTTCTATGGTCGATACAATGACATTGTCAGCAAATACAATCTTTCACTTAATCGAATGTTGACTGACGTTTTTCATACTAATTGTTAGATCATTATTTAAACACTGAATTGTCTACGGATTTTTTGGTCTTCCCGATCATGACAATGAACACATGGCGGGTGTGACAGGTCGACAGGGGATGCTTACACATCCATGACACCTCTGATTTTTTTGGAAGTCCGTGGTTGCTCTGCTCCCAATTTGTTTCCTCTCAATGGACGTTTGAGATTTAATACTGTTTGTTTTCTCCATATTTCATTACAAAAGGTATACGATTTATAAAGAAATTATTTCTTCTTAACTCATGATATAAGACCATTAATTTGAAATGTACGTCTTGCTTCCTAACGTTCATGTTTAAACCTAGTGGTCACTTGACAGTTATTAGTAAGGAGTTGATCCTTACGTCGCGGGTTCGAATCCCACTGTGGGACGTGGAGACCGGTCCTTCGGATGAGACCGTATAAACCGAGGTCCCGTGCCGCAGTAGGTGCTGGCACGAAAAAGATCCCTCACTGCTCAATGGCCCTGAGTGCCGAGTATAGGTCAAAAATTTGCAGCTCTCCACCGGCAAGTGGTGGCGTCTCCATATGAGTGAAAATTTTTCGAGAGGGACGTTAAACAATAAACAAACTTGGCAGTTATTAACGCTGATAAAGCAAAACCTCGATAAACTGTTTTTCTAATCATCATCTTCATGCTCCAAGACAACAAGTTTGTTCTTGATAGGCTGAAGAAAGGAAATGTGCATTTTTTTTTTTAGAAATAGTAGTTTATTTAAACAATCTTGAGAGCTAATCCTTGCTTATTGATTTTCATTATTGCTCAATTAAATATCATAATTGTTACAGAAAAATATAATGTTAATGCTCGCTCAATGAAAAATGGGGCTGCATTTGCTTTGCTTCTCAAACATACGTTAATGTATGAAAAACCACAAAGTCAACTCTAAAACAACCTTTTTCCATTATCAAGTTTTGTATCTTTATGTTTTACATTTGCAAAATGGTTTATATATGAACAGTTTTGTTCTTTTTATGTTGTTTGTTTTTCATTTATTACTAAAATCCTCAGTGGTGAAATAAAATTATCAAATATTAGAACAAAAATAAACCCCAGGACTCTTTCATTTGTTATGAGACATATTAATTGCGTTTGCTTTTCTTCTTAATAAGATTATATTCTTTCGTCAAAAACAGCTTTGATTTTCCAAGAAAACTACAGAATACTAGCATATGTTAAAATTACATTGGATATAAGGTGTTCTTACAAGCAGTTATACAGCTCAGTTATAAAATATGCCTTCATCACTGAATCCTAGTCGACCTGAATGTCTTTAATATCTACAGTTTATGAAATCAAGTCTTTAATTAAGACCTAATAAAAACCATCTACTATAGACAACTTTTCTAATACTTATACCTGGCATTATGACATAAGACAAAAATAAAAGTCTCATAAACTGCCGCTTGTCTTGTGAATAGTGAAGTTGATGTTCAAAACAGAAACCTGGCTGAACCAAGATGTCTATTTAAATGCAAAACGTGATTTGTACACACATGCAGCAAGATGTGCTGCATTATTCATATCAATGTCTCTTTCCATATAAAACTATAAAACTATTATATATATATATATATATATATATATATATATATATATATATATATATATATATATATATATATATATATATATATATATATATATATATATATATATTAACTTGTTCACATACGTTAACCAAAGTAATTAATAAAATTGATCTTAACTAGAAAACCGCAATCACTGCAATAAATAACAAACAAAAACCACCAATATATCTTCACATTGCCACAGAAAACAGACAAAACAAAAATTCAGTAGTATAAGGGACCTTTCTTCCTTCATATATATGGCGGCTGCATATGGAATGAGATAAAAATATATATATATATATTTCCTAAAATATATCTATAATTGCTGCATTTTCATAGTGTCTGAAATGAAGCTTTATATGCCTCTTCTCCAGCGAGGGTCGGTCCCACCCCCTATTGTTTTGAGCCGGCAGTCGTAAACATGCAGATAGCAGTGTGTCTTGATTTATCACTCCCTGTCATTCATTAGCTGCCGCGGGCATTGAAGAGACACGAAGTCAAAAAGACAGGAGGAAACACAAAAGACTTATCACATAATGTGATTTTCTTATCCTGGATTTACTTTGAAATGTGATCAGTACCTCAATACCTGAAAATTTTGGACTGCTTTGGACTTGTTTAACGTACGCGGAATGGTTTTTATTAGAACTCACCTTCGTCATTAACCTGGTATGTCGGTATGTCTATTTTTGATTGTCCATCATCCGTCTCCATGGTAATGGTCTGATAACCCTCTTTTCTAACACGTGTGTGTGAGGGTGTGTGTGAGGTTGTGTGTATGTTTAATATCATTCCATCTTTTTATAAATATTTTAGTCATTTTTCAAAATCAAATTTGTTTTTGTCGTTAATATGTCTATCTTAGATTTATGGCTATCTTATAAAAACATAGCTTTTATATTTTGATCTTAAACAAAAATGAAATTGAACCAATCTAGGTTTTTTAATGATTTATGTGAACAGATTTTTTCTAACTGTCATTTATTTATACGTATGTTGACGTATGAATGGTTAAAATTCTCGAGTAAATCTACTTTCTAGGCATGTTTTCTGGAATAACAGTTCTTTGATACTTTTTTTTTACACGTTTTTTCCATGCTTAGTCCAGTCTGATTATTATTACCGCTCTCTACGTGACGCCTCATCATTATACTTGTGTTAATTGCGTAATTCTTCAGCCTTTTCTGCTGCTTGAACTATTCCGATGACACCTAGTTGTCGTTACACCACAGCGATTAAACTATTCTCATATCAAGGCATGACTCGCTTTTAAATTATACAACCATTCTGAGTTTGACTATTTGTGATTTCATTTCTGGCTATTGGTATGCATGTTGCAAAAAAAGATAAAAGATTCCAGCGAGACCAGTTCTAACATAATGAATTCATACGTTTCTATTTAGATAAATGAATTGATAAACTGCAATTTAAATAGATTTAATAATTCTTTATTACTTCCCATTGGTCGAATCCATAAAACAATATATTTAAATCACAAATTTATATATTTTAATGGTTGGTCAAAATATGTATGTTTAAGTAATCCATATTAACATTAAAATTGTTTCCAAAATAGCGAGTTCGCTTCTTTGTGAAAAATATCGTTTCAAAGTAAATTTAGTTCTTCGTTAAATTCTTAATTAAAACTTAAATTTAGCTTGTTTACATTTAAAGACAAACAGAGAAGAAACTAAATTGCAAGGCAAAGAACACGATACGGTAAGACCCATAATAAGTAATTGCTGGCTATTAATGCTTGAGCTTCCATTGCTTTCTTCAAATACTTACAGGGAGAATTAGCGAGTACAAAATCTATCATTCCACTGTGCTATTATGCTGAAATTTGTTTATGATGTCACAATCAACCTCATTCCTCATTCTTTAATAAAGGGCAATTCCTATTCTAATATACCTTGTGTAAAATGATAAAGATGATGCACAATATCACATAGTTACCTTGGTATATATCGTCCTGCTTGACGCATTTGTTTTACATTTACTATTCAAGAATCCTTCAAAGGTTTTTTTTTACCTTTTTCAGCTTAAGAAATGCATTTATGGTGACGTCAGAGTAAAATCATGCATTTAATGCAATTTTGCGGAAAACTTCAAGACACCTTGCTACTATTAATTTTCTGATAGTAAATATTTACTTTGTTTCACGTTGTGAGAACGTACTGTTTTTTTTTTTTCAAGTCAGAGGTTGATTTTTTTCAGTTTTAACTTATTAGGTATACAATCTTCTACACTATTTCAAAACTTGATTTATCATCATTTTTATAAAAAAAATATTTTAACACCTTTTATTCAAAAACTAGCTAAGGTTTATCTGGCTCAAACTTCACTTATTCAATTTTCTACAATAATTTGCAACCTTCATTCCATGATTTTACTTCTGAATCTTATTCTTAATTATATTACATACTTCTATCTTGAATTAATGTCATTAATAATTGTCGTCTCTCTTTTTATAGGTTTTCTTTTCTCTCCAATTCACTGATTTGATTTCTTTATTTAGTGTACATAACCTAGATTTCTAAGTTATATAGTGTTAAAATATGACATCCCTAAGGTAATGTGATTTCATGAAGTCTTCGAAAGTCTTAATTATCTTCACATTTTTTTATATTTGAATGGATGAAAAATTATGTCATAAAATGTAAAATAGCATCTAAAACCACGATAGACTGTGGTTTATGTTTTGAAATAGCTGAATTATGATATTTAGTTTTTGGATTGTGGTTAATGTCACTGTGCTGAGTAACTTCTATAAGTAATGAGGATTTCTTTTGTACTCAAGAAGAATTATCATAAAGGTTATCAGTACAGAATGGTTTGAATTGTATTTCAATAAGTGCTCAACAGGTATCAGTGTTCAGCTATACCAAACACTAATCACTGGGATTTCTGAGAAGTCGTACAATAATAATATCTAAGTCGCCATTTTGTGTCACTTGGTCTTGTGGTCAGTCTACAGGAGACTGTGGTTTACATAATATTGTGCATTGATCGATTTTAAGTACATAATAGAAGTGTCTTGGTTGGTGAAAGATGTTATATACACTAGTGTATGTTGAACCAACCTTAATTTGATTGACTTATTGTAACTCATATTCCAAGGTTCACACAGACCACAATTCAGTTACTAACTCCAAGATATACTAGTCACTCACTCAAACTCCTACAGACTATAATCCATTCGCTATAAATGAGTTTACATTAATTCATCATTCACACACGGTTCTCCCACTATAACTCATACTTTGAGTCACTTATTGTCTTTCAGAGAGATCGAGACGCTTTCAATGCTTTAATGTAATATTCGATATGATAGATTTCATTTTTTCAGAAGTCACAAGGATTGGCACATCCACTCACAGTAAAAATGGCAATATCTGTAGAACCCTCTAAATAATGTGTGTAAAGAAATACTAGTACTCTCTGGACGGTGCAAACAAAGAAAAGGTCATGAATATACAATGTACCTCAAACTAAACAATATATCATTATTATCTACATCAATAAAGGATAAATAAGGCTTACAATACAACGTAACTAAAAATAAAGCCTAGCAATACATGCACAATACGTCTTAAGAATAATACTACAATGCATTTTCACTTATAATGCAGACATAGATCTTAGCTAAAAAAAAACACATTCCACATAAAATTTACTTTATAATTGATGTAAATTACTTGCAAATATAACAATGACCCTTTTGAAAAATAGATTACAAAAATAACTTCTAAATAATCATTTCAGAAGTTAAAAAGAATGAATGTCTAAGTGTTAAATTCTTTTTTATGCATTTGTAAGACTGTAAATGCACGAAATACGGAAGCCATTCATTGCTTTAACCTTAAGTAATAGCATTAATAACTTACAATGAGTTTTATCAAACGTAAAACGTAAAACTGAATAACGCAAATAGCATATTCTAAAGTAACAATCAACTTTATTTCGTGAAACAATTCAATACTTGTAGCTTTAATTTTGATTCACAAGATGAAACCAATGCTAAATAAAAACTAGCATAACGTTTCAAATAATAGTATATTTCTTTAATTCAAAAAAAGGGCTTAAAAAGTGGTTGAAAAAAGATCTTGTAAATTTAAAAAAAAACATGGAATAAAAACGATACTCCAATTATGATAATACCTCTTTTCTAACAAAATCTAAGCAAGAAATTTGTAACCATTTACGACGATACTCAATATCATAATGATTTAATCAAAGTTAAAGTAATCAGCAAAATCAGTTTATCGTTAAGGCATAAACATTAGATCATAATTAAAAAAGAACACTTCGACTGATAATTGAAAATAATCTAAAAAGAATGCTTAAAAAATAAAACAAAACAAAACAAAAGGTATCAATAAATCTCAAAGACCATTCATTTTCCAAATATAAAAATATAGACTAACAACGTTTAAACGAAACATTTCCAAGAACACAAAATTAGAGATACAAACAATAGCTGAAAACAAACGTAAACTAAGTATGTGTTTCAAATAACATTTTAATTCGACTTAATTAACCCTTATGAACTATACACTATAAATAACATTATGATACGACTAATTTTAAACCTTACCAAACTATAAATATCAAATAACATTATAATACGACTAATTATAAACCTTACCAAACTATACACATCAAATAACATTTTATTTCAACTAATTTTAAATCCTTACCATTACATATACTAACCATACATCCAGTAACATTGTAATTTGACTAATTATGAAATAAGCATGCTATACACTTCCAAAAACATTGTAATTCGACTAATTATAACCTTTACCAAACTAAAAATATCAAAATAGAATTATCATTCGGCTGATTATAACCCTACCAAACTATGCACATCAAATAACATTATAATTCAAATTATTATAAACTTTACCAAACTATTCATATCAAATCAGACCATAATTTGACTTATATTTACATCCACTGAATATTATCTCCTTTGTATCTTAAGAAAACCATTGTCGTTTATCAGTCAGTAAACAACGTACGCTCTACAGATTTCTTGAGCAGTGGCTCTTCCATCAATAAAACGTACATTGACGTACATATCAATAATACAATATTTAATCTACTTAATCCTACTTTAAATGACTATTTATACAGATATAAACATAAACAATAAAATGTCTTCCTTTGTTTGTTAGTAAGGGAATTAACGTTGCAGCCATTGCAGAAAAAAAGAAATTACATAACCCGCTTACGCGGATCATGCATTTTTTCTACAACGGCTGCAACATTAATTCCCCTATTAACAACCAAAGAAAGCATTTTATTGTTTAAATTATAACCCTTACCAGAATATACACTTCAAATAACATTATTTTGTCCAATTATAAATCTTACCAATTTATACATTTCAATTACATTTATGACTTATACTTATCCTACCATACAATACACTTCATATAATATGATAACTCAACTCCATCCAACAGGGGATGCTTACTCTTCCTAGGCACCTGATCCTACCTTTAGAATTTCCAGGGGTCCGTGTTTTATGCCCTTCTCATGGATTTGTATTGCATGTAGATTTTATTTTCGATAAATGTTCATTATCTTCACCTTTTTCATTACCTTCACAAATTTTACACATCAATGGAAAAGGTGAGGATAACGAATATAGATCGATCCCAAAAATTTCTACAAACGATACAAATCTGTAATGAGGGCATAAAACATGGCACCCCGGGGGTTCCAAAGGTGAGATCAGGTGCCAAGGAGGAGTAAGCATCCCCTGTCGACCGATCACACCCACCGTGAGTCATATGTATTGATCAGGTAGATGGAATATTCCGTAATCAAATCTAGTATAAAACATGTCAGCCAAAATATCCAATGATAGGTTATATTTGCAAGGTTATATCATAACAAGGTCATTATAACGACCATAGAATTTTGCGAACTGCTGACTGTAAACGAGGTTGTTGAAATCCTTGAACATCAACTTATCTGTCAGTAGCCTGTCTTGGTTTAAAAATTTATCATACTCAGAGCATGAATAAGGAAAGCTGACGATGGAAATAATATTACACTTGGACTTGCAATAAATCTATACTAATTATACACATATATACATGAAAGTCTTTCGACTAACATACACCTTTGCACTTGAACAAACGACAAACTTATATCTAATTTTATCAATAAATCTCTAATTTTGACAGATTAAGCTTTACAAATGACAAAATAAACAGAGATCATATGTATTCACCTAGGAAAAATAATAGTTAACAATAATTTTTCAATTACCAAAAGGTTTTATTTGACAATTTCAGTTTTGCACATACGAGAAGAATGCAATAAGCTTACAAATTAATCTGACTTAAAAATAGTGTAGACTTTTTAATATTCAACTTATTCAGTGAATGAAAAAAGGTGAAGATAACGAACAGTGATCGATGAAATATATGAAGATAACGAACAGTATTCAGGCTCAAAAGTCCATCAAACAATACAAAATAGGAGCAGAGCAAACACGGACCTCTAAACATCAGATGTGGGATCAGGTGCCATGGAGGAGTGAGCATCCCCTGCCAACCGGTCACACCCGCCGTGTGCTCCTTGTCATAATCGGGAAATAACGGAAAAAAACCGTCGACAATTCAGTATGTAAATAATGGCCTAACAATCTGTATGAAAAACGTCAGTCAGCATTTGACTCAATGATAAATTGTATTTGC